TAACGATGCTCCGGAGAGGCGTCAGAGAGGTGTCGTCTCAACAGAGTCTCCTCCTACCAGTCAGTACTGGAGGGGATGACCTGCTAAGTGCGGGTGGAGAGCCAATGATGCTCCGGAGCGACGTTAGAGAGGCGTTAGCTCAAGAAGATGTATATGCTATGACTACCAAGTCAACAAGATAATTAGTCGCTGAAGCACAAGCCCAGAGCGCCGAAGCGCAAGAGCTGCGCCGGCGGATCAAGAAGGGCGAAGCAACGAAGCGCTGGGCGCTGAAGGATGATCTGATCATGCACTCGAATCACTTGTTTGTGCCTCCAGTACGCGCATTGCGAGATGAGCTATTGAGAAGACATCATGACGATCCCTACGCAGGTCATTTCGGTGCATTACGGACGGCCGAGCTGCTTAGACGTAAGTACCACTGGCCTCGCATGGGTGAAGACGTCGACACGTACGTACAAAGCTGCGACGTGTGTCAGAAGACAAAAGTCAAAAGGCATAAGCCCTATAGGGTAATGCAAGCACTTCCGATACCAAGGAGACCATAGAAAGAGATCGCCCTAGATTTCATGAGTGGAATACCTATCAGTATGCGAGGCAACGTCGCCTATGATGCGATACTTGTGGTGGTATGCAGGTTCTCGAAAATGGCACTGTACTTTGCCATTCAGAAGACGATCTCAGCACCTGAGGTTGCAGATATACTGATAGACTTGGTCTTCGCAAGGTTTGGCTTTCCAGGAGGCATTGTGTCTGACAGAGACCCTAGGTTCACATCTGAATTTTGGTCCGAACTCTGCTACTACGCGAAGGTGAAGCGGAGACTCAGCACAGCCTTCCATCCGCAAACAGATGGCCAGACAGAAAGGCAAAATCAGATATTACAAGAGTACTTGAGAGTGTTTTGCGCGATGTGCCAGACAGAGTAGGCGAAGCGCCTATATATCACTGAGTTTGCGTATAATAACTCCTATCGAGCTGACCTAAAATGCTCACCATTTTATGCAGTTTATGGGTATGACCCTGATATGGACCTGGACACTGAGGACAGTGCCTATGAAGAGAGGGTGCCAGCAGCAAAGGAAAGAATATAATATGTAGTTGAATTACGCGATTCGCTGCAGCACTACCTATAAGATACCTTAGAGAAGCAGGCGAAGTACTATAATGAAAAATATTAACCCAAATAATTCCGAAAGAATGACTTGGTGCTAATCTCTATGAAGAACCTTCGCACACGAGACGCAAGCAAGAAGCTGGGACAGCGATTCATGGGTCCTTTTCGAGTGGACGAACCTGTCGGCAGCCAAGCCTATAGAGTACACCTTCCAATAAGCTCAAAGATACATAACATGTTTCACGTCTCAGCGCTAGAGCCTTACCACTGCCGCGATGGCGAGCAAGATATCCTACCACCGCCAGAGCTCAACAATAATGACGAGTACGAAGTAGAAGAAATCCTCGATCAACAGCGACGGCGAGGAGCCTTCTGGTACAAGGTGAGATGGAAGGGTTGGCCAGAGGAGTATGACCAATGGCTACCACAAGAAAATCTCGAAAACGCACAGGAATTGCTACAGCAGTTCAAGCAAAAACGAACACAAGAAGCCGCGGACCGCAGACGGCACGGCGGCGAATCACGCAAGAAGAGCCGACGAATGAGGAGTTAAACATGCTGCATTACTATCGATGCTATTGCCATAGGGTATCAATGGCTAGAGGCCGGAATCATCGCAATTCAGTTAATGTCCCACAACGCCTTCCATGGCCCCTTCGCTCTCGGATGAATCCTTGATAGGGTCAAGCTAGTACTATATTAGGTTAGCGACCTTGACCTAGTCACAATAAGAACGAAACTTACAGCCTTGTAATATAACCCGAAGAATCAATCGAAGAAGCAGCTACAAGTCGCATGTAAAGCCCGCATCTCCTGCAGGAGGAGCACTGACGCCTCGGAGGCGCGGCTAACAGGAGTGCTTATGCCGGAAGCACGCTTGGAGACACGGTTCGTTTATTGAATATCAGCGACCAGGCTGGTGAGCCGCGCACGAAGCGCCTCCTGGGCTGCAGCGTCATCAGAAGACGTTTTTGCTGCGTCCTCAAGCAAGGAATTGATCCGAGGCACGCAAGTCGAAGGAATCTACCCTCGTCAGCAGCAATCGCTTGAAGAAAAGATATGACTTATAGGTAGGCAACGCTTTCGGCCTAACTGACAGCGGCGGCACTTGCGTATCACTATCTTGTTATAAGGAACGGCATTACTATTGAGAAGATATTGAGTGCAACGAGCGCAACAAACACGAGCTAATACTATAGAAGGGCGGCGATAATGAGCGACGTGGCTGGAGCGAGGAGTCGAAGCCTCGCCGGAGTGAGCTGAGGCAGACTCAGCGAAGACAGTGGCCTTAGTGGCCGAAACCTCGCCAGCGCGAGGGGACGCGGATTCGTGCGAGAGATCAAACGTCACCTCGCCGGTGCGAGGAGACGCAGGCGCAGCGGATGATGGCGGTGTCGAAGACATGATCAAGAAGAAATCGATTGAGCAGAACACTTTATATAATCTAATGGCGTGGCAGCAGCAATGTCAGCCAAGATAAGGATGTAAGGAGGATGGTTCAAGTACGCGAACGAGGTGATATTTATAGACCTGAAAGTTCAGGTCACTTGAGGACCGA